CCCCCCAAGACAGAGAGATTCCTTCCCAGTGTGAGACTGGAGGATCTGGCGAAGGGAGAGGGACAGAGGTAGTCTGTAGAGATCTCAGGGGAAGCAACAGACAGCCCCTGTTGGCATGGGGCATAAGGGTGCTGTGTGGCTGGGGAGGGTCTGTGGGTGGGGGTTTGTAATTTCCTTTCCTGACCCATGCTGCCATTCCCAGTGGATGCTCTGTCCTCTCCTGTCCCGTTCACCTGACACAGGGCCATGCAGTTCTGCCATTTGATGACCAAATGTCAGGGATGTCCAGCCCCTCCTTTCTACGTCTCCTTCATGGGGATCCTTTTCCCCAGTCCACTCAACCCCTTCCTAGTGTGTGGGATGGCCTGGCAGGTTGGCGTTAACCTGGGCCTTGTGCCAAGCAGCAGCTGCCTGCAGGCCCCTTGCATCAACCAAGCTAAAGTACAGGGTGACTTCATGGAGCACAGATGGAAGGGTCGATACTGGTGACCTTCCTGGAGGCGATGGACCCATGAGTGTATCAGTGGCCTCTGGGGAGCTGGGCCTCCACCTTCCTCTCTATGTAAGCTGCAGGTCTGGGATAGGCTGGCAGGGAAGGGGCAGGGGCAGGGGCAGGGCCAGTGTATATTGGGGTGGGGGGTGTGACTTGTATCCCTGGTATGAGAGTGAGGGGAGCTGTGGGGGTGTGTGTATTTGATGCAAGGCTGATGTGTGTGTATTAAATGTGTTTGAGGGGGTGTGTGCAGGAGGCAGGAGGGGCATGTGGGGAAGGAAAGGGATGTAGTTGGGGTTTGAGTGGCTTAGGAGGAGTGTGAGGCAGGCATGGCGGGGGAAGTGATTGGCCTTGTGGCAGTGTATGTGAGCTGTGGGGGAGGACCGCTTCTGGTCCTGAAAGCAGTGGCGGTGCCTAGGCAGGTTGTCCCAATTTGAAGGAGCTGCATGTCAGCCCTGCAGGTGCAGGGGAAGGCAGGAGCACTCCTGGTGCCTCAGCCTGGGTCTGTATTGCTGTGATACATTGATTTAAAAGGATGCTCATTGACTGTGTGTGAGGCCTGTGCTAAAACGAAGCCTCAGCAGTACCCAACAGCCCCATGCATTGACTTCTTTGCAGGCTGCCTTGGCAGAGCTGAGGTGTCTGGCAGTCAGGGGTGTCATGTGTGAGCACAGGGGGGACGTGTGGCAGGATGGGAAGGGGCTTTCTCTGTCTCCCAAACACTTCCTCCATGCTCCAGCGTGTCCCCCATTCCCAACTGGCACCCCCATTTCACTTCAGAGAGCTACTCTGTCCAGGGCAGAGGGACTGCGTTTGTCCCATCAGCCAGGAGTAGGCAGGGCTGGGTGCTGGGGGTGAGTGCAGTGTCTAGGCATGCAGTTGCTCCCTGGAGACGTGGGGGCCCCAGGCCCTGCTGCCTGCAGCCAGCACCATCTGTTCAACACCCTCCCTACACCCCCCCAGTGTGCTCCCAGTTGCTGTGCTATTTATATGGCCCCTGCAGATACCATCTCCCCACAAAGCTGCTGTGCATGGGGGCTATTTTGAGGAGAGGCTGCAGGAACAGCTGGAGAAGTCTGATGGCAGGGAGATGGGAGGGGAGGAGAGGTCACTCCAAGAAAGCATCCCTTGCCTGCTTCTCCCAGCCCCTGCCCAGACCTCAGGGATTGCTCTCCCCTGGGTGCCTCCCTCTCCAGCAAGGCCCCATGAGTCCCACTTCCCACCCTGTGCAGGGGTAACTTGCCTTCTTTAGCCCTTGTATCTTCCCTGCCTAGGCATTTCAGTCCCTTAGATAGGGAGCACTCCTTGCTTCAGGGCAGTGGAGTCTGAGAGCAGGCTGGGTGTGGCTGGCCAGGTCCTTTCTTTGAAAAATGGTAGTGGGTCCTTGGAAGCCTGACTGAGCCAGGATGTGGCGCATGTAAATCAGGACACGAAGGCACAGACTGTGCTCCTTTGACAGGAGGGGGTCTTGCCCTCCTGCCAATGGGAGCCCCTCGGGGCTGCCACGTGTGCCTGAGTGTCAGATCAGAGATGCTGGGGTTAGCTCTTCCCCTACAGGGCCAGTGGGAAGGTGACAGGGAGGGTCCTGTGTGGAGAACACTGTCACAAACCCCAAATGAGGCTTCCCTATACTGGGGCTGGCTGAGGAGTCAAGCCAAGGTGGGCATGGCTGTGCATGTGTGTGTTCAAGGTGTGTATATATCTGTATGTGTCTCTGTGCATGCGCTCTTGGGGGGTGGGTGGCAAGAGACTGCTGCACATTTCTGGTGCCAAGCTACAACAAGCAGTGACTTGCTACAGCTATCACCTCATCTTCACTTTGTGCCATGCCCCTGTGCCAGGCTCCCCATCCATGACCTGTTTTCTAGGTGGTCAGAGGCTCGGACTGCATTTGCCTTGGCTTAATGGTGGCATTCAGCTGCCCTGTTCTGCATCTTGGCTTCTGGAAGGCTGCTTCCTTCTTTTCCTCCCTGCTCGCTGCCTGCCCAAGCCTTTGTTCAGCTGCTGCTCTTACTGAGCATGCTCTGTTCCCCTGGGATACAGAGTAGTGCTGGCACCCAAGGGCCCTCAAGGGCCAGGGTGGGGTTTTCAGCCCAGCAGAGCAGGCAGGTTGGGTGCAGCCAGGCATGGGCGGATGTAGGATTCTGAAAAGGGGGGTGCAGGTGATGTGGTCCGTGATCCTGTAACACAACACAGATTTTTCTCCAAATAAAAGGAAACTTGAAGCTGCACTAATGTGTCTGGGGCCGTATAATTCAGTTTGTGAACCCAGCAAAAAGAAATATGCCTGGTGCCAGGGGTGTACAGCTGTTACCCCCCAGCCTGGCCATGGATAGAATTGCTCCCTGTACTCCCACACAAGTCCCTCAGACACTCCACCACAGCCCCAAAGTGCCCCTCACTGCCCTCCGTACTTTGCCCCTGCCATCTCAAATGCTCCCTGGCTCCACTCTGTCCCCCATTATCCTATGTATCCCCCATTCTCAGCCCCAACACTTTGTGCTCCAAACCCATCAGACCCCACCATCCCCCTGTCTCTCATTGCCCCCATGAATCCACTGCATCATGCCTCAGCCCCCCGACTCCTCCCCAGACCCATCACACCCTGATGAGTCTCCATAGACCTCATCTGCCCCTCATAGCTCCCCACCTTTAACACCTCAGCCCTTTCTCACCCTCTACCACATAGTCTTACCTCCCCACAAAAGCCCATAGGTGCCTGTGGCCCCCACTCTAGCCTCTCATGGCCCCTAGGAGCCCTTTTAACTCAAAACCCCTCCCAAACAGTTCCCCCTACCCCTCATGGTTCCCAACTATGAGGCATGTGGGGGCAGAGCTGTAACTGCCCCCTTCCTGCTCCCCCCCTCCTACAGTATGCCTATAGCTGGCTTCTACTGCCCTCCACCCTCAGCATAGAGCAACAAACAGTTGGGGCCAGGGAAGGACTCACTTTAGCTGTTGGCAGTGCCTCTACCCCACGGAGACCGACCCCTTTCATCCACCCACACTCAGGTTTATGCCACTCTGATTGCACCAGTGGTTCAATCTCTGTCATCTGCTGCAATAAATAATAACCCAGGACAGGCTCACTTCAGTAATTTACCTCTTCACCTCATTGTTGCAACTCTCTCCTGCCTCTCTGACTGCTGCACTACTGAACAGCTCAGCCTACTTTTAGACATGCATCTCCCCTCCCTGGTTCTGATTTGTTGTAGGTTTGATTCCTGTAGGAACAAAGCCACCCAGTCCAGGTTCCTAGGTAGGTAGCCACACACCTTTGTTGGATTTGTAGGGAGATGCACAGAGAAATGTGACCAGGCACAGATAATAGATGGGATCATTGATAATTGTACAAGAAAGGCTAGCTTCATTAGAGGAAAATCAAGGCTTATTAACATCTATGGGGTGAAGAGATCAGCAGAAATCAGGCAGGTAATATTGAGTCAGTTGACTCCCTTCGCTCCCTCTAAATAGAAATGTAGTTGTTCCTGCCCAGCAGTTTGTTTTAAAGTTTTAAGTGGAAAGGAATCAAAGGTGGGTGCAGCAGAAATCAAAGTGGGATCTAACCCCCACCTGTGGATATGCCTCTGCAACCATGTCATCTCTGCACCCAGTATGACTGGAAGAGGCTGGGACTGCGAGCCCACAGCCAGTACTCCTGCACTGCTCCCTACGGCATCCCTGCAGGGGGGAGGCGGTGGGCAGCAGGGGCTGGAGTAACCAGGTCTACTTCTAGCTCGTACTCAGGCCCCCAACCCTGCAGTCCCACCTCTTAGAGGAGGCAGGGAATGGAGCAGCCAGCAGGGCTTTGCTATTTGACTGTTCCTTGCTCCTGCCTCCTTTGCTTGGCTGTTCAGCTGCCCTGCATTCTCAGTGTCAGGGGCTGGGATTTTTAGCACTGTCTTACCATGTGTCTCTTTGAGTGAGTACCCTGGCTTCCTCCGTGCTGCACATACCCCAGTCCAACAGTGTAGCTCTGCTACCATAGCTGGAGCCCTGACTCCTCTGTGCTGCAGCTGCTGTTCCTCAGCACCCTCTTCCTGCCACTCATGGGCTCTTGACATCTCTCCTCCTCTGCAGTGTATGCCTCTGTGAGCCTGTATCTGCTCCCGGAGCGACCCGCCACCCTCATCCTCTATGAGGACTTGGTGCAGATCTTGCTGGGATCACCAGGTAAGAGGTTTGAGTCAGGAGGCAGCCTGGGTTAGTGGTTAGAGCAAGTACCTGGGAGTCAGGACTCTTGGGATCTATTTTTGGGCCTGGCCTCAATCTTCTGTATTACCCAGGGCAAAGTCCCTTTCCCCTGCTGTGCACTTGCCCAGTGGAGATAATGCTGCCTGTTTCCCCTATGATTCATCAAGGAAAGGTGCTGCCCAGCCCCAGGTATTGTCTGACCCCTTTACCTCAGGGGTTGGGCTGTGCATGTATGTGTCCAGGTATAGTGGGAATAGATGTGCTGGGGTATGGGGCTTTGTCATGGGGATGGGTCATTTTAAGCACCCAGAAGTCTGTCAAGTGTGCATGAGAGCAGCGGTGAGTGTCACAGGTTGGGCATAGGGCTGGGCGGGGGTGAGTGAGCAGCCCTGGGTGTGTGGCCTTGGTCACGTGCTCAGGGGATGGGGGCAGGGAGAAGTGACTGTGGGATTCTGGCTGTGGGCACTGGGGTGGTAGTGGGTGCACAGCCTCTCCTAAGTGCTGGAGCAGGTGCTGGGACAATTTAGAGGAGAGCAGCAGCGGAGTAGCCTGGTGCACTGGGTGCTGGATTCCCCCGCTCTGTCGATCTGGGAATACAGCTGGGCAGCCTGACAATAATTCTAGCCACAAAGCTGGTGAGATGCCCCAAGCACATTAGTGGCCCATATGCTGCCTCTTCAAGGGCTGGCTCTGTGCCAGCTGCCAGCACTGCTGTTAACCTGCAGCAGCACTAGGGGGCTAGAGGGAGGAGGGCTCAATGGGTTGGCCTCCCACATCCCACAGGCTGCAAGGAACTGAGTCTCAGAGAATACCAGACCCCTTTTCTCAGGGATCTCTCCTGCTTCAGCCTCTGCAGTTACTCAGTATCAATGATGGATGCTTGTTGTGTCTTCACAAAAATCACCCCCTTGGATTGCTGCAGGAACCTGCTTATGCTGGGGTGTGCCCGATCCAGAGCTGAAAGGAGAGTCCAGGACAGATTGATTGTAGGATTCCTTCAGCGACAGTGGGGGAGTTTGTGTTCCCTTCCTGTTTTACCCTCTGCCCACTGAGGTGAGGGCACCCACAGAGGAGGCGCTTGTCCTCTTGGCATGGCAGGCTTCTGCCCTCTGCTCTGCTCATGGAGACATGAGTGCTAAGGGAGCTGACAGGGCTGGGATCAGGCTCTTGGCCCTTCAGGCCAGTCTTGGCCATTGCCCTGGAAACAAGCTGTCTTTAGTTATTTGTGTTTCTAACCCCTCAGCCCTTGGGGGTCCCACAGCAGAGCCTAGCAGGGCCCGTGTTGGGCAGGGGGGGTCATCTATGGGGCACTGCAGTGGAGGCCAGTGGGTGACATCTGTTGTTGTTGTCAGGGGTCAAGAGCCAACCATGGGTGCAGTTCCAGCGCAAGGCAGCTCGCCTGCCCCGCAGCTCCACATACAGCCAGCTTTCTGCATCACTGACCACGGCTAGTGGGGAGCATGACATGAAAGGCTTCCCATCCTTCATCGGGGCTGAGAGCAACGGTAGTGGTATGGATGGCCTGGTGGGATGGGAGGCAGTGAGGGGAAAATGGGGTGGGTGGAGGGGAACTTGGGGAGAATGAAAAAAGAAGTCATGGAGCTCTGGGGCAGGGACAGAGCAGGTTTCTCCCCTTGCTGACGGGATGCCTCCCCTCCCAGCCAACAGCACCTGGCTGGAGCTGGCCCCCATCGCCGCCATCAGCGTCCACCTCTTCACGGGCAATGGCACCGAAGTCCAGCTGTCTGGCCCCGTCCACCTATCCATCCCACTGCCTTCTGACACCAATGCCATGACAGCCACCAGCGTGCCAGCTTGGAGGTTTGACACCAAGAGTGGTAAGGGCCTCAAGAACTCCTGGATGAGCAGGATCTCCTCTTCAAGGGGATGGGGGTGGTGGAGGTCAGTGCCTGGCTGGATGCTCTGAGGGTCAGCTTGAGGGGAGGTAGGCCTGGCTCCCAGTGGCAACCTGTGAATCCCACCTCCCCAGGCCCTGTGGGTTGAAGACATGTTGGGGGATCTTCCTGCTCCCATTTGGCTCTGTGCCAGCATGGGAGCAGTGGGGTGGGAAGCTGTGATCAGAGCCCTGTGTCTGGAGGAAGTCGCAATACCAGCTGTGGGGATAGAGAAGGCAGTTTTAAAAGGATGGTGCAGGATTTTCTCTTCCAGAGGGAGACAGCAACAGTGTTCTCTGGGATGTGAGGTTAAAGCAGCAGGATTACATGGCCACATCTGGTGCCCATGGAGAAGCAGCTCATGGGGTTAAAGGGATGAGAGGCTGGGAATGTCTCACACCATCTCCCCTCCCTCCCCATGCCAGGTGCTGCAGCTCTCAGCTCTGTGCTTGAGATGGAGCTCACTGCTGCAGACATCAGTCCCTTCCTGCCTCCCCCCTTTCCCTGGGCTACAGGGCACCTTGCCTGGCAGTGCTATAAAACTGCCTAAGTGGTAATAAAACACCATTAGCAGGGCCCTGGTGGCTTTAAACATGTAGGATAATGGCAGCCCTTGGGGAAGGGTTGTGATTTTGCTGTGGAGGGGAGTTGTGGGAAGAGACCTGTTCCTTTCTCTTCTGTGATGCAGCCAGGACACACCAGCCCCTGTGCTGGCTCTTGTTTGCCAGAACATGGGGAGCCTGGACCGTAGCCCATCTCCTGCCCTGTGAAGAGAGGGATTGAGGGGGAAAAGCTTTCCCTACCAGGCTGGGGCAGGGTCCTACCAGGGGTTGGCAGGTGTGTTTGGCTGTAGAAGAGATCTGCAGAGGATGACTGTGCTGGATCATGGGGCATTGTCAGAACCATAGGCGACTGGAAGGGGGTGCACAGGGGTGCATGTGCCCCAACTATGGGGCTGGTGCCCCCCACCCATGACAGGGTCAGCGGCTTCTGCGGATGCCCTGCCAGATTCAGGAGGCACCAGTCACTTATGGGCAGAGCTGAGGGGGCATCCAGAACTGGCACAGTGTGGAGGTCTCTGGGGTCTCAACTGAGCTTGGAGGAGTCAAGGCTGGAGTAGCAGGGGGCTACAGGATGGGACTGAGGAGCCCTGGCAGAGCTGGTATGCGGGAAGGGGGGGCATGGCAGCATGTTGCTGGGACATCAACAGGGCTGGCAAAGCAGGGGAGACTGCTGATGACATTGCATGCAGAAAGACAAGAGAAGCTGCATTTCTAGGGCAGGGGATTTATTTTTTCCATTTCCTGCCAAGCAAACAGAGATACCCATCCCTCTTTTGCAAGCTGTGAGCAAAGAGGGTAGGAGACTCCTCCCTGTGGGGAGGGACAGGGGTGAGGTAAGGGGAAGGCTTTTGAGACCTGTGGTGAGTGTAGTTCTGAGAAGCCCCAAAGGAAAGGAGCAAGCACCCCTGGAAATACCCATGGCAGGAAATCCTCTGCACCAATAGCTCAGTGATGATTGCAGTGCACTTCTATGGGGAACCAGTGTCACAGCAGCAAGGGGTTTGAACCTGGCACCCCAGGGCAGGAGCCAAGCAGAAAAAACTACTTCTCTGCCCCCTCCAATATAGTATTGCTTTTTAGTGGGTAGGACAGGGACCGTTCTGAGAGGCAAGACACTGTGTGAGAAGGACTGCAGAAAGGAGATGGGATTTGGGGGTGCAGGGAAACTGGCAAGGGATAGTAAGGGATCTGAACCAATGAGATGGTGCCCTGGTGATGCTGGGCCAGAGGGGTGGGTGGGCTGCTGGTACAGTCTCCATCTCGAGGACAGGGGTGAGATGCTGACTCTCTGCCCTGTCTATTCCTCCTAGGCTTGTGGATCCGTAATGGGACGGGGCTGATCAGGAAGGAAGGCCGTCAGCTGTACTGGACGTTTGTCTCTCCTCAGTTGGGTTACTGGGCGGCAGCACTGCCCTCCCCAACCACAGGTGAGGCAGTCCTTTCCTACTCCCTTTTCTCACACTGCTGAAATGTAAGTTCCAGGGAAAAACTCCCCAGTGCCTTCCCTACAGAGGAAGGTCAGAAAGGAGCTGGCCTGCCATCAACAATGCAGGTCTTGGCACATGGGGTATGAGCAAAGCTAGCCAGGGAGATGGAGCCAGGTTAGGAGGGAGCACATACTTCCAGCTGCAGCTGCCCAGATCTACTCTAGCTGACCAGCAAAATCCAGCCTGGATTTTTTACACTGGTGAGCTGTCAGGCTGGGCTAGCCCTCAGAGCACCCAAGGGCTTTCCACATCCTCTGGTGGATTCCCCCCCAACACCCTAGAATAGAGCCTGATGGTGCCTTCTTGTCAATCTCCACTGCCTCTGTGCAAACGTCATTGCAGGAGAGACCCCTCTACAGCTGCCCTGCACTAGGGAGGGGGCTCCTGTTAAGGTCTGCACTTGGGGCTCTTTGGGGCAGGCCGGCCCAGTGGCTTTAAGCATTTAGCGAGAGCTCTGTGCCAGCTGCCCAGCCTGCCTGGTTTCTGTCTGCCAGAAGTCTGTCCTATGCAGCCCATGAGGAGAAGGCTGCAAGGAGGTAACATGGAGGGAGGGAGGGGCAGACGGCTGGGGTGGGGGACAGGAAGGAGAGTTCAGTGAGGGGGTGACAGGAAAGCACCGGATAAAGCAAAGGCAGAGGAAGTGTCTGTTCTGTTGCTGCATGTCCGGTGCCATTAGCTGCTCAGCCAGCAGTGAGGCTGTCCAGTTCGCTCCAGCTCCAGGCATTGCTCTGTGCCCCAGGCAGGGGTGGGCATGGAGGAGGCAAGTCACCAGCTGGGCACTCTCGGACACTGCACTGGGGAGGGAGAGCCATCTGGCAGCTCCTCCCTACAGCTGGGTAGGTTGTGCTAGGGCAACTCACATGCCAGCACCCCCCAAACTGTTTTTTGTTTGCACCCCCACTTCTGTCAAGCCTGTGCTTCCACCTGAACATGCTGCTGCCCAATAGGGTTGTGTTCTTGTCTTAAAAACCACCCCGCTGTCCTGTTGATGGGGGTAGGTGCATGCCAGTGGGGGAGGGCAGCAGGCAGGAATTCTGGGATTCCTTTCTGGAGAGGGGCTGCTATTTCTTCCCTCACCTGTTAAGTGGGTGAACAGTGGTTTGCTGCCCCCTCACTGGGCTCAGGGGGGAGGTGGTCTGAGGCCCCACCAAGCAGGCAGATGAAAAATTCTCTCCTTACATCCCAAGCACAGCAGGGCAAGCTCCTCTGGGGTGTTTGTGTTGCTCCTGCCAAGAGGGCCTGGCTGAGGTCAGGGCCCTGTCATGCCCAGTGCTGCCACAGAGGGAGAGGCAGGTCCTGCCCCAGTGAGCTCATAGGCTGTACACAATGTGGGAGGGAAACTGAGGCATGGGAGAGGCAACTTGCTCCGGGAAGGGCGCGCACACAGCTGGGAAGAGAGCACATGGAAATGCTCACCTCACCCTGCCCTTGTAGCCCAGCCCTGCTTTTGGGCCTCGAGTGGGATTGTAGGCAGTCAGGAAGTAGCTTGCTGGGTGCCAACTGTCCCTGCTGGTAGCTGCTGTCTCAGGTTGGCCAGAGGCTGAGCTGCATGAGCCACATATATGCAAGAAGGGCCAGGAGTCAAGGGTCCCATGCCTGTGTCTGAGTGCTGGTGCCTCCCTTCCCAGGGCTGGTGGCAATGGCTGCAGGGATGAAGGATATCACCACGTACCACACCATCTTCTTGCTCACTATCCTGGGTGCACTGGCCCTGCTGGTCTTGATTCTGCTCTGTCTTCTCATCTACTACTGCAGGTGAGGCTTTTCCCCATCCCTCCCTGCCTCCTGTGCGAGCTAGGCTTCAGTGTCTGCTGTTATTCAACAGTGCAGGGGTAAAGGGCCCTTGCACTGGTGCTGACAGACTATGGGCCACAGGATGGTGGCATAGGAAGGAGGTGCAGAGGTGTGGGACAGAGAGATGAGTCTGGTTGCTGGGTCAGTTTTACTTGTCAATGCAGAGCCAGGATTCACCATAGAGCCTGCACCAGAGGCCAGTGAGCGGCATGGTAGCAACCTTGGGGTGTTGTGTGGCTGGCACTCCAACAGGGGGTAGTGCCAGGCTCCAGACCCCTCACATGGCTGGCACTGTGCTAGGAGGCTGTGGCTGTCTAGTTTTTGTGAGCCAGGGCCCAAATGTTCAGCAGAAGCTGTAGCTGGTCCCCAGACACAAGGTCTCTTTGAGGGCCTGAGCATGGGGCTTAGCTCCCAACCTGTCACCCCTTCTGACGTGTGTTTCTCCAGAATCAACATGTCTGTTTGCTCTGGATGTATTTCCTAGCTCTCTCCTTTGTGCTATGAACTCCCAGAGGGGTGTGGAGCCTGGACAGGGATACCCCAGGGGCCTGCAGCCATCTGCTGTAGTGATGACCTGGTGGCATCCTGGTGGTTGTTTCTTAGTACAGGTAGCTCATTCTGCTTTGGTAGAGGAGCCCCCTTGGGGTGGTGCCAGGCCATGAGCCTAGTGTCCAAATGGGGCAGGGACTGTGATGGTATTCCTGCGTGTGCATCCCCAGGAGGAGGTGCTTGAAGCCCCGGCAACAGCACCGGAAACTGCAGTTATCTGGGACCCTGGATGCCTCCAAGAAAGACCAGGCCACCTCAATGTCTCAGATCAACCTGATCTGCACTGGCCACATGGAGACAACATCATCCAATGGGGACACAGACATGCACACGCCCATCCTCAAATCTGCCTTCTCCACCTCCCGTGAGTTCGAGAGCTCCCGCGAGGAGTTCTTCAAGCAGGTCTCCAGCCAGAAGCTGCGGCATGTCAGCAAGGCCTCCACGGACACCCTCAGCCACCGAGGCGCCCCCAAAGAAGACTACCAGAGGCCTGGGGAGGGCTTCTCATTGAAGGCGGCCCGCTCTATGGATGTGCCAGGTGCCCTGGAGCCCCCGCCGTTAGATGAGTACAAACGCAGCTTCTCTCACCAGCGCATGGAGGACAAGAGCACAGAGACACAGAGGAAGCACTCACGGAATGAAAGTAAGCCCTACCTGCAGGAGCCGCCCTCGCCCCCACCCCTGCCGCCCCCCTTCGACCACTATGTCGGGCACAAGGGAGAGCCCAAACCCCCCGAGTTCATGATGTCGCAGTCTGTTGATCACCTAGCCAGACCCACCTCCCTGACCCAGCCGGGGCAGCTCATCTTCTGTGGCTCCATCGACCACATGAAGGACAACATGTATAGGAACGTCATGCCCACTTTGGTCATCCCAGCCCATTACATGCGGCTGGCATCAGATTATCCCGGGTCAGACCAGGCTGGGTCTGGCCCAGTGGAGAACCAAGCTGAAATGGAAGGGCTGCCAGTGCAGGCAGGGATGGCCATGCCCCACCAGTTTGGACCCCAGGACCAGCAACAGCTGCTCCTCCAGCAGCAGCTGCAGCTGCAGCACCAACAGTACCAGCAGATGCAGCAAGCAGGGCAGCTGGGGGAGGACTCGGAGGGCAAGGGCTGGGGGACTCACTCATCCTCTGTCAGTGGCTCTGTCACCATCCCAGTCCTGTTCAATGAGTCTACCATGGCCCAGCTGAATGGGGAGCTGCAGGCACTGACAGAGAAGAAGCTGCTGGAGCTGGGCGTGAAGCCACACCCACGTGCCTGGTTCGTGTCACTGGACGGGCGTTCCTCCCAGGTACGGCACTCCTACATCGACCTGCAGACCAGTGAGAAGAGCCGCAGCAATGATGCCAGCCTGGACTCAGGTGTGGATGTCAATGAGGCCAAGCCCCACAAGCGGCCCAAGGAGGAGCGGGAGCGCCCCACAGCCCCTGCCCCAGCCCTCGCCCCAACCCAAGCCCCAGCCCCTGCCGGTGTGGCCTACTCCAAGCTGGTCTTCACCGATGACACGGAGCAGAGCAGTAGTGAGAGCCGCACAGCCATCTGCTCCCCCGAGGACAACTCGCTAACACCACTGCTGGACGAGAACGCCGACCACCGGGCTGCCACCATCCCCCGCCGGGGCCGCAGCCGGGGCAACAGCTCCCGCAGCAGCAACAGCGAACTGCGCCGGGACTCCATGACCAGTCCTGAGGATGACATGAATGACCCATCGGAGGGGGGGGACGAGCAGGGGGACAAGAAGAGCCCCTGGCAGAAGCGCGAGGAAAGGCCACTGATGGTCTTCAATGTGAAGTAAGCAGCAGGGGGGCTCGGTGCCCCACCCTCTCTGCCCCCCCAGCTCCCCAGCAGTGCCTGCCCCAGCTCAGCCAGTTTGGCAGGTGGGTGGGTGAGCTCCCTGCTCTGGGTACAGGAGGTGGTGGGGCCAAATGCACACTCCTGTGGGGAAGCCCCAGGAGTCTGGAGGACTCCACTCCCCCAAGGGGATCACTGGAACCCTGTGATCAGGGGGTGACAAGACACCTGGATACCATGGACCGCACAGACCTGCCCCACCCCACCAGATTTCATCTCCTGGGTTGAGCTGCATCTGGGACCCAGGGGAAGGGAGGGACCTGCCCTGGGAGGCAGACAGCGGAGAGCCACAGACCCTGGCCCATCCTGCGTCTGCCCCATCCTGGGACCTGCTGTCCAAGGCAGAGGGGGGGCGAGGCGGCCAGGAGCTCCAAGAAAGGGGGGACTACAAGGACCAGATAGCACCTGTTTAATCCACTGCCTTTAATGCCTGGTCTCAGCTGCTGCCCCCCTCTCCCCTTCCAGGCAAGGAGATTGGGCTGGGGTGGGGGGCACTGAGTGAGGCCATGTTCCCTCTGCCAGCCTGAGCCAATGCTGGAGTGAGGGTTCTTGCCAGGCAGGGTGGGGGCAGAGCTCGCAGGGCCCCTGAAGCAGAGAAGGATGGCTGGGTGCCTGGAACTGGCTCTTCTGAAGCACACTGTAGGGTGGTTGGTGCCACCACATGCTGCCTGCCTGCCCACCCGCCACCACCACCATGGGAGGTGCCGTGCGCGCCATCTGCCAACCCTGCCTGCAGGACAGGCCTGCGTGTAGCTACTCCTTCAGAGCCAGAGCAAGAAACTGAGGCCAGGGTGCTCCCTGCTCATGCCCCCCCTGCATGGGTAGGACAGTGCCTGCTTGTGGTTGTGGGGTGGTGGGGGTCCATCATCACCTTCCTCCCTGAGATGGGGCTGGATGGTGGCAGTCCCAGGCCTTTCCTGGACAACATCTCACTCCACTCACCTGGCCCTGCCAGATGGGCTTCGAGGCCTGGGCCCCCAGCGGGTGCCTGGCCAGTGCCTGTAGATAGGGGAGGTGTTCTGAGGGGAACCAGAGTCTTTCCAGTCTGTCGGGTGTCTCTAATCATACTGCCAAACCTCTGTAGCATGAGGACCAGGAATCTCCTCCAGTCCTTCTTCTGCCCTTGGAGTGCCCCCCTCCCCCCCAAAAAAAGGTGCCTGTGCTGTTCTGGTCCCATCCCTCTCCAAGTGCCTTCCTGCCCTTTGCTCCCCCCCACCCCCATGGGGGGATGTCACAGCTGGGAAGTGTGTGCAGGAACAGGCCACAGGCTAAATCCGCCTTCCTGCCTAAGCTGCTTTCCCTTGGGCAGGCGGTTCCCTCCAGCCAGGCTGGCACAGCTTGGCAATGTCTCCCCCGCCTCCCCTGCACCCACCCCCCTGCCAAAGCCAAGCAGGTTCGAGCATGGAGCCAGGGCAGGTAGGGGCCACTGCTGGAAGAGGACTGAGGGTGGACCATGCGCTGGCAGGGGGGGTAGGGTGCAGGGGGCTGCTGGGTCTGTGCCACAAGGGCTTAATGTCTAATAGGGAGTAAACCAGACTGTGTACGTGTCTTGTGTGTGTGTGTGGTGCATCCCACAGTGCCCTGCAGCAGAGAGGCTTCCCCAACCAGAGCCTAGGAGTTGTGGGGAGGCTGTTTCCCTGCTGCCCTGGTGTTGGGGGAGGCAATGGGGGAGAGACTGGGAGACACTGTTTGGCAAAATGGGGGGGAGGGGCACTGCAGCCAATGTCTCTCTACAAGAAGGCCACCAGGAACAAGTGGAGTGGGGCAGGCGGGGGGCTCTTGCTAGGGGTGACATGTCATGGAGAGAGGAGTGGGTTCCACTGGCTTTTACCTTTAACTTCAGTGTCTTTCTGCCCTAAGTGGGCTGGCCCAGGGGCCTCTTCCAGCCCTCATGACTCTTTGCCCCTGCTAGCAGCACAGCAGGGCCTGATCCACACCCACTCCTTCTCTGTGCCTGCTCAAGCAGTGGGCACCAAGGGAGGCCCACGTGCTGGTCCTTCAATGGTGGGGGAAAGGCAGGCAGCTGAACACCCTCCATATGAAACATGGAGGACCAGGGCCTCTTCCTGCATTGGAAAGATCTTGCCTTAAATGCTGTATGGACCAGGGTGAGCGGCACCTCTGCTTTGCCTGAGGTGGGGGTTGGGGGCACTGGATATGTCAAGGGGGGGGCCATTCCCCTGCAGGGCTAGGCCAAACCAGGAGAGGCTCTGCTCTGGGAATAGTCCTAGAGCAGCCCAGTGAGGGACCCACATGTCAGCCTGGGAGGGAAGTGTGCCCTGCAGTTCCCATCAGAGCTTCTCCAGGCCAGCTATGCTCAGGCTTTGCTGGGCCCCTCCTTTTTCCAAGAGCACAAGCCTGTGTAGCCCTATGTACTGGAATACAGCCCTATGAATACACCCTATGCAGCATAAGGCCCCTGCCACATGCCAGGGCTGCAGGGCTACATCCCCCCACCACTGGGCCAGATGCTTTCACTGCCCCACCCCTCTCCCCAGCCTTCATCTTAGAAACAGCAGCAGCCAGCAGGACTGGTGGGATTGGTGATGCTGAAGCTCCTTTGGTGCTATTTGGTTCCAGCACCATGGGGCTCTTGCCAGCACCAAGGCCCCTCTCCAGCCCCTCCCCTTCCTGCCCCCCCCCCGCTTGGATTTTACTCCTGTTTCTAATGTTTTATACGTGGCAAGAAAAAAGAACTGAATGCCGGGTCTGTGCATGTACTAGGGTAACCCTCCTGGGGGTGGGAGTGGTGGGACAGGGACTAGAGGGGAACTAGCTTGACCCCCACTAGCTCTGCTAGCCACCGACTGAGTGCAAAAACTCTCCTCCCTGTTCCCCTAGGGAGGGACGAGGGATCCAGCGAGAGCTCTGGTCCGCACTGGCCTGATTACTCCTTGTTCTTTAGAATGGTATTAATATATAAAACCCCCTTCAAAGCAACACCCGTGTCTGGCCTCTATTTCACTCAGGTTCAGGAGATGACGCCCTTTCTTCACGTCTGCTACCCCATGGTTGTGCCACGCAAGGGCCTGCTTTTAGCCCAATCCCTGGGTGGTGCCTGACACACTGAGCGGGGCAGGGAGTTGAGAGCAATGCTGGTAGGGGCAGGCTCCAGTTGGTAGTGGGCTTGTAACAGGACTGGTACTCCAGCACAATCAGGCCCCAACTCTTCCAGCAGCTCCCAGTAAAACACAGCTAAGTTCACATGACTGCACACAGCAGGGACCGGTCATAAATATAGCTAGGGGTGGAGGCATGTTGCACTGCTTCCAGGCTAATCATCCCTGCCCCCCCCCGCCCTAGTACTAGTAGGGTGAAAGCTGTTCCCCTGAAGCAGATAGGTGCCGAAAACAGGGCTGGCAGCCAAGGGGGGGGCTAATGCCCTGCTTGTAATCCAATTCAAGCAAAGCAAAGCTGGGCTAAAAGTAATACCTGGAGTCTTCACTGGAGGAAGCATAAGGCAGTCCCAGCCTGGCAGAGTGGATGGCATGGCTAACAGTTGGATTAGGGGAGGACCAGCTGAGGTTTAGCACCCCCTGCTGTGCCCAAATTGCTTTTGCAGCAGCCATCTCTCCTTACCCACCATGCCACCCCCAGAATACACCAAGAACTCATACAACCAGCACCCCACTGCACTATCTACCCTCAGCTCCAGAGCACACCAAAAGCTCCAGCACTTTTCTCTTTTTAAAGGGGGGAGGGGAATGGCCAAGGCCCATCCCTGCAGCTGCTTCAGCTCTTCCTCAGAACAGGATGGAAAGAGGAACTGAGAAGCAGCAAGTAGTGCAGCTCCTAGAGCTCTATGGGCTCTACCAGAGGGGGTGATAGTGCATGACCCTGCAAGAGGAGCACAGGGACAAAAGCCCTCCACGCACAAGCTTCCTACAAATCCTTTATTGGCACACACACAGCCACCCACCCCTACGCAGCTCCAGCAGAAAGAAACCCATCCTAGACTTGCCTCTTGCCAGCTGGGTACAAACTTGGCCTCACCTCATGGAATGGGAAGAGTTGAGCAGCAGCAGTGGAGGGCTACTGGGAGCAAGGGCACTGGCCAACCTGCTGCCCTCCACCCTCATGGTAAGTGCTACAGTGCAGCAGCAGGAACCCCCTGCTGAAATGCCCCTGCAGCAGCAGGAACCCAGGTAATGGGAGGGGAGTCCCTGCCCCAACCACTACAGCAGTAGCTACCTCTGCCTTTTGATGGAAGGCATCTTAGGCCAGCCTGCCTCAGCCTCTCCTGGCTTGCCCCAAGGTGAGGGTGGGTGTCTGGTGGTCCAGGCCTTACACAAAATACAGACTCAGGTGACTCATACACTCTTCCTAGGCATGGCAGGAGGTTGCTTTGCAAGGTCCCCTTCTAGAGGAGAATCTGAGACTCCCCCTGCCCCTGTTTTCCTTGTGCCAAGCTCACGTAGAGATGCCCAGTTTGTTCTGAGGATAGACAGCAAGTCTGAAAAGGCAGGAAGGAGCTGAGGTGGTGGGGACTGAAGATGCCTATGGAGTTGTAGGAAGCTGTTGATGGAAAATCCCTGTTGCAGGCCAGGCCATACCTGAGACCTCTCAGAGGGTCACCACAGTTGGCCCTGGAGGTGACACAGCTCGTCACTCCAAGGCTGTAGGGTAGCTGGGCTTCCTAGCACAGCAGAGTGCACTGCAGCAAGCCAGCTGTACATGGCCAGGAAGAATACTTCCACCTCCTGGCCTCCAACTGGCACATAGCAGGGGAAGAAAGGAGTGTTAGGAAGGGCCCCTCCTGGGTGGAGGCGAGTGGGCAGCAGCAGTAGAGGGCAGCAGGACAGAACTGCAAGGGTGCAAGGCTGCACCAACAGTGCAAGGCTTTTGCTGTCAGTACTGAACACAAAGGCCTTGTGCTGCAGGGTGGGAAAAAGGACAGCACCTAAGGGATGGTGGTGATAAGGCAGCTCAGGCCAGTGAGCAAAAGGCCCTTCATTCTGGGCAGTCCCTGCTGTTTCAGGTAGGGCAGATGGGCAGAAGTGGGAGGGAGGCATCAGCCATGCCTGTTACACCCTCCCTTTCTCCCTCCCCTGCAAGGAGTGAGCAAGAGTTGGGGGGAAGGTCACAGCACTCCCCATGCTCCACAGGGAGGAAACAGAGGAACCAGGAGACACCCATGGGCAAGACAGAGAGACAGTGGGGGCAGAGTAACAAACAAGCCTCGTGGGATGAGGAAAGCCCCCCTCAAAGCATCAACTCTGAAAAGCAGAGTCCACAAGTGTGTGTGGTGGTAGGGGGGTCCCCAGGGAGCCCCAAGAGGCACTTCACAGCAACATCTGCTTCTTTGGGTTGCCAGCAGAGAAGATGCTGCCATCCCAGCGCTGGGGCCCATGCCAGATGCAGCTGAGGCCCTTTTTGGTGCAGCGGTACCCATGGGGGCAGCAGTGGCGCTTGTCATCACAGCAGATACCCTATGGAGAGACAGGGGAGATCAGTATGTGATCAGTCTTCCCCCACCACACCCTCTGCCTCCACCCCCCAATAAAGCAGCAGTCCCCACTGTGCTTTAATGGTGGTGCCTCCCACCACACAATGCCCAGCAGGCATGGAGGGGTGAAGGGGAGAGAAGGAAACAGTCCAGGGCACAGATTCACCTCAGCTCACAGAGCAGGTGCCAGGCACCTAAAATCATATGCTACGAGAGCTCTTTTCTATGTGGGCACCAAGCCAACGCCCCCCTCCCCCTGTCCAGAGCAGCCACCCCAAGAGGAAGCAGGGCTCCTTTGCCTCGTCTGCTACCAACCTTCCTGTAAGGGCAGCAAGCCCAGGCACCCGTGGACACCTTGCAGCAAGTCTGGTTGTCGTGGCAGAAGCGCGTGCTGTCGCAGGCCACATCGTTGCTGGGCTCGGGGCTGGCTGGCAGCAGCACAGCCGAGGGGCCCAGGCCCACGGGCAGTGCTGCCTGCTGCTTCTCACAAGTCTGCGCCACCAAGTTGCAGGTGTAGCCCGTAGGGCAGCAGTGCTGCTTGTCCTTGCAGCACACGGCCTGGGTGATGGAGGAGGGGTGCAGTTGGTGCCTTCATGAGGCGTCAGAGAGAGCAGCCTAATGAACATGCTTACCACAAGACATCCAAGAAGAGAACCCCAGAGTCCTGGCTCCTGCCTCCTCATTCCAAGCCACCAAACCTCTCCCCTCTCCGGGAACAGCAACCAGGAATCCCAGGTCCCAGCTCCCGCTCTAGGCTACTGGAATCCCCTTCCTTTCCCAAGATGGGGCTGGAGGAAGTGGGTGCTACGACTCCTGTGTTCTGGTTCCAGAGACAAGACTCCCAGCACACAGATGGAGGGGAATATCAAGGTACCTTCTCACTACTAACCCCAATCCTCAGTCCCAGCCACTGACTGCCCCCACCTGTCCACTCATTCCTGTTCCTTCTGTGCACTGACAGAGGCAAGGGAAGAGGCTATCTGGAGAGGGGTGCCTGGCAGACTACCTAAAGGGCCCTCGAATGCCCAGGAGGGAGCTGCCAGAACAGTGCCCCCACCCCGTACTCACATTCGGGAGCTGGCAGCAGGCCCAGGCACCTGACAAGTTCTTGCAGCAGGTCTGCCCATCTTCACAGCTGACCGTTGCATTGCACTGCACATTCTGGACCGGGGGGGTGCTGGTCACATGCACCCTCGCTGCAGACATCCTCAATGGTTTGCTCAGGCACCTGTCATGTTCCAGGTCACAGGTGTGGCCTGCAGGACAGCAGTGGAAGCCATCCGAGCAGCACACAGCCTGGACAGGGAGAGGAAGGGGGAGGGCTCACAATGTGGCACCAACCAGGTCCTACACCTCCTCCTCCTCTAGCTGGACCCTAACCTGCCACTGGCAACTGGCTTGTATTTTTGCCTGGCCAGGGACTTCAGGGAGAGGAGAGCAACCTGCCATCTGCCAGCAGATCTGACCTAGGCCACAGCTGATGCATTGCCACAGACCCACAGCACAGAGCTCCCAACCTCACACACCTGAGGCAGGGGACAACAAGTCAACTGTCCCTGTGGTCCTGGCACCCTGCAGCAGGTATTTCCATCCGGACAGAACTGTTGGCTGTTGCATTTCACATCTTGGTCTGCAGAGGTCACTCTCCGCAGGGCTGGGGTCTTCTCCAGCCAGGGAATGCTGGTGCTGCCTTGCAGGCAGCTGCTCCCTGTTGAGTCGCACTTGGAGCCCTTGGGGCAGCAGTGGATGTGATCTGGGCAGCATGTGGCCTGGGCAGGAAAGAAGCAGAGGCCCCCAGAATGATGGGGATGTCTCCAAGAACATCCCTGTCACCATCATCTTCAGCCTCTCCTTCCCCATTCTCTGCTTGTGCCCCTCCCTCTTTACCTGCAGCCTTGCAGTCATAGTCTTGGGCTTACCCCACAGCTTGGCTCCCAGCTTGACCCACAGCCCGTGACCAGCCCCAGAGGGGAAGTGGAAGTGGAAATGGCAGAGTCATGATGAGCCCTTGCACTCTTCCTAGTGACACTGGCACCTCTTCCCCCAAAGTGAATGGGAACAAAGACTGCATGCTGGCTCCAGGGCCCATGCCAAGCCCCACTTGACAGCCACTTTGCAGCTTCCTGGAGAGCCCTGGAGCAAGCAGTCTCACCCTAGCTACACTCCTCACCTCTGGAGCAGGGCAGCAGCCCCAGGCCCCCGTCAGCAGCCTGCAGCAGGTGTTTTCATCTGGACAGGACGTTTCATCGTCACACTTCACATCTTGGCTTGTAGAGGTCACTCTCACCAGAGCCGGGGTCTTCTTCAGCCAGGGGATGCTGGTGCCACCCTGCTCACAGCTGCCCTCTGGGCTGCACTTGTAGCCCTTAGGGCAGCAGTGCATGTGGTCCTGGCAGCACGTGGCCTGGGTAGGGAGAGGGGAAGATATTCAGCATAAGGCTCCTCACAGCCCTGCCCAGGGAGTTTTCACCACACCACACTGGCACTGCACCATGCAGAGTCACTGGGTCCCCCAAAGCCCCCTCAAGGTCACCCAGTTCTTCCAGTAGGATATCCTGGCCTTCCTCTGTGCTAACAATGTCTCCCAAACTTCTGCTATTAGGAATGTCACTGGTATACTACTCCTATTTGTATCAAAGTCCATCAACAACCAGTCTCTCAAGACTGGCCCCTGAGAAATGCCACTGGGAGCCTTGCTCCAGCCCAACAGTGTCCCTCCTTTCCCCTTCAGCCAGACCACTCTCTGCCTCCCCAGCCTCACACTAATCCCGGTCTTCACCAATCATTTCCCATATGACAGTGTATCTTGCCCTGGCAGGACAGATCGCCTAGCATTTCCTTTGTCTAAAAACCTGGCTACCAGGACAGTCTGAAACGCTCACATCAGTTAACATGCAGTACACCTCATTTTCCATTACCTTATTCTTCCATTCAAAATGGGTCCTAGGGCCTTGCATGCAACTTCAGACCATCAGGCCTATGGCTGCCCAGATCACTTTCCCTCCTACTTCCTCTCTCTTAAATAAGAGGACATGTGCTGATCTCCAGTCATAGGGCACCACCCCTGACTTGACTGATTCAATAAGACTCCTTGCTCCTGGACATGCACTCTCATGTCAGAGCTCCGGGACAGAGTGGATACGTTCTTCCTAACTGGGGCAAGTTAAGCTTGATATACTTTGCTTTCACTTAACCT